ATACTGGTGGAAAGAAATAAAAATTAATTGTAATCTCTGTTGGAAAGACTCATTCAAACTCATGCCAGCATTTCAAGTGAACTCACTCATATCTTTGTTTTTTACCTTTGAAAATATTTCTTTATTCCTGATATCATTTAATGATAAAATTTTACCATTCCAAAATAATATTTTATTAAAACATAAATAAAATGGAGAAATAATTTTTTTATCAGAAGGATATTTCTAAATATGTGATACAGTGATATTTTTTTGCATAGAATTGAATGGTTTATATCAAAGAAAAACAAATAATAGGAAATATTACTGATGCCATTTGATATTATCATCATAATGATCGATCAAAAATGATTATCAACAATGATATGATATAAAATTATTCTTTAACTATCTGTTAAAAATTATATTTATATAAATTGAAGCTATAAATTCTTCTGTATCTATCATAAATTCTTATCATATTTTCAATCCATTTTTTTCTTATCAAAAAATTACGATAATATAATATAATATATATATATATTGTTTACACTAAAGAAATCTTTTTTTCTTTTCATAGTTTGTAGGGAAAAAAGTTCTTTCTTCCGATTTCTCCTATAATTCTATTAAATAATACAAATGCGAAATTTATGTTAGCATTGTATAATACATATAAAAGCATTTCATTTCATTTCAATCATTCATAGACAATATATAAAAATATATACGTTGAATTTTTCCGGATATCTTTCCAGATATTTTCCATATCATATACTACGGATACAATAAGCTACAGTTATCATGATGATGATTAGCAATTATCGACTGCCTTTTATCATTTTCATCATTTTCCACTTGTCGCTTGTCGCGAAGTCTTGCATGTGTAAGTGATATTTATTATTGTTATTATCATTATTATTATTATTTTTATTATTTATTGTTATTATCATAATTTTTATTATTATTATAACTTATAGGAGTAACACTAACGAAAAAAGAGCTGTTATGAGGTCATTTTGAATAATGTTCACCCATAAAGTATGTGAGAAATATTTTTGTTATACATATGATATTGCTTTCTTACATATATAGAATATATTTGAATATATTATGAGTTGGTAGAAGTGTATGAAATTGAGAAGAAATAGTAAAATGGCTGTCATGTATTTATTAAAGTTTTTTAGATGACATAAAAAAGGATAGAAAGCTGATGTCAAATTTGAAATATTTTCAAATATAATGTTAAAGTTAAATAAAAAAAGATTATTTCTATGATGGAATTCCTTTCTCAAATTTGATTTCCTTCTAAACAACCCTAATAACAAACTTTTCCAAGTTACAGAAAGAGTTTTGTTTTTATAATTAGATGTGAATTAGCAAATTTCAATTGCAGCATTCCCACCAACTTTTACCTATGGTAATGTTGTATTTCAATTAATTCCAAATTCGGAATGCAGAGGTGGCAAATTACATGAAATCCGGAATGTTCAGGCAAAGCTTTCAATTTATTTTTAACATTCTAGTTATAAACAACAATTAACCATCAAAGTATTTATGTAAGGAAAAAATGATTCCAACGATGCATCAGAAATATAGTTTGGATGAAGTGTGACTGAATTTTCGAATTTTTATTTCAATCGATTTCATTTCAAATTCTTTATGGCAACGTGGAACAAAATATTTTGCTCAGTATTAGACTTTTTTTTTAATTACTGCAATTATAAATTTTGGCAAAAATTCAATTATAGGAATTAAATTTCGATTATTAAGATTGATTTTGATTATTAGATTTAGTCTTTATTAAATTACAAACAATAGTTTTATTTTCGAAATTAAATGAATTCGATTTTTTTGTAAAATCAATTTCAAATAATTTCGGCTTTTATCATTCATAACAAAAATGCAAATAATTTTTTGTTTTCATTAGTAACTAAAAAACACTAATATTAGATACCATTTTATTATTGATTCAAATTCTTCCCAAAATAATTTAACAATCTTTTTTATCAATGTAGACTTATTTATTATTATAGAGTTATGTATATATATATAACTTTATATATATATATAAAGTTATCATTATCAAATTATTTCAAATCATGATAAATAACCATATACTTACTTATCTTTCCCTAACAAATCATATTTGCTGAATTTTTTCAGGATCCTGATCAATGCTCACAAGCATGTTTGCATTTCGGATGTGTTGCTGTCAATGTTTTTCAATTAGGAGAATTCGAATTTATGTGTGAAATTTTGGGTACAGTAACGGATGTGATACCAGCACAAGGTGCTGCATGCTATACACCAATTTTTTAATAAATTTCTCTTCAACCAATCTATATTATCATTTGTTTCGCATAAGAAATAATTTTACTAAATGATAAATTTATAATATATCATGTAGTGATTAATTTTAATTCCTTTAAAAAATATTATCATTAATTGAAATGAATTATGTAATTTGTGCAATCAACGAACAGTTCAACAATAAATTAAAAATTATTTTTCATTTTAACCCTTTCCATAATTTTGTTTGTTAGATTGAAAATGAAAAAGTTAGAAAACAAAATAAAGCATCCCAGATTAAAACACTCTAAGAGAGATAGTAATTCTCGATTAGTTTACTGGAAACTAAAAAATTTGATAAGTTTAATTTCTAGAAGAAATCCAAAAGTTTAATCTTCTAACCTAATACTACTAATTTTTTCCCTTTTCAAAAATATAGAACATTATAAATTCAGTATCAGAAATTTTAAGTTTATAACGAGTAACATTAATTAATTATTAGTAAATTAAATGATCATCTTTGACATAAACATATTGAGTATTATTATATATTTGATATTTTAAACAATAACATTTATCCGATTAAGTAAAATTATCTTTATGAAATGCACTGCATCACTAAACTGAATTCTGAAAATTCATCTATTCAAACAGAACCGGTTAGATTAGGTTTAGTTCATTCTGAATTTTCGGATCGTTTATTATTGCTAGTTGATAATCTTTTTCCTCTCTCTTGAACTGTCACAATTTTGACCTATCTTACTATAAGACAGCAAAAATCTTATCATCTAGCATGATACAACATGGAAAATGATAAAGGTAAAAGATAAAAATTATTTAACCAAAAGAAATCAATTCAAAACATTTTTAATTTAAAGCACAAAGAGTATATAACATGAGAAAATACTGATATAACAATTAATATTAACTTGAAAACTTTCATAAAAATGGAAAAAATAATTTCAGCCGAAAACAGTAAGCGATAAATTTGATTCAGTCAGCTTATGCTTAATGAGGAAGAAAGGATAATTGGTTCAGAAACAGGCCTGAATTTCTTCATGACATTTCCTAATTATCAGTTGAAATCACTTGGTTTTTATATCGGTCAGCAATTATTGACCTCTCAATTCGTTTACGGCGTTTTCCGTCGTAAGTCGAATAAATAAAATTTGCTGAATGAATGAAAAAACAAAAATTTCAGCAATTGAAAATAAAAATGGCATAGAAATCTTGCAAACAAAATTCCAATCATTCAAACCTAATCGGTTCGAAGTGTAGAAATTATGTAATTCAAAATAAGATGTTGAAATTTTGAAAAGAATGTATTAAAATATGACGTTTCAAGATTTGCTGAAATTTTAAGATTCATAAGGAGAAGAATCAATCGAAATTTTAAGAATTAAATCGCGAAATCTTCCAACATTAAACATTTCACAACGCTCAATTTACGGTCGATATCTCTTTCTGTTACCCTTACACCGTCGCAGTTGTCTCTCTTACTAGTTGTGGCGGAATAGCTGAATTTGAAATTTGAATAATTTTGATCGTGATGCTGCCGTCGAAATTAGTCGAATTTATTGATAATTTGATCATTGATTCATTGATATCGGTGATAGGATTTTAACAATAATTTCACATATATATATATATATATTCTAGCCACAATAACATGCATTTCAGATGTTTTATTAGATGTTCAAACTTTTTAATCAATGGAACGAATAATTCAAGCAACAATTAATGCGTTAGGTTTTCTGCAAGATGGCGTTTATTATCCGGAACCGGATTGTTTTGGTATGTTCTCGGAAGAATTTTTTTCGACTTTATCTTTCTGCCATTTTTTTCTCATTAGATTCCATTGAACAGGAAAATCATTTTTCTGAATCAGAATATAAGATTTTGAAAACTTTAGAAACAAAAATTTCCAATTTTACTGCAAATCAATTTGAATTAGAAAGTGTGCGCGATTTGGTACGATTCCTGCGGAATGATACGGCTATGGCAGTGGCACGACGTGTTTGCGGTGAGAGAAATATTGTCCGATACGATCTAATTCCGATCATGAAATCACCAACCACGTGTGATAAATTATTCGACATTGCTTTAAGGCATTTTTTCTCATTTTTTTTCCGTAATAAAACGCTAATATTAATTAGGTTCAATAATTAATTAATTCAGATTCGAAGAAGATATATTTCTTTATATAATTATCTTGCTAACAATTGAAGTATTTTGCTCTAGAATTTTTATTTGCCAAGTTGAATCTATGTTTTTAAGTTTTCTTGCATCTAGACTTAACTGGATTAATGTTTTATCAAATAGTAACTTTTACCTTATTATAAATTTTATGTTTTAGATTAATTTTATTCCAAAAAACTTTTTCCTTCCTAGTTTTTCCTGTTCAAATCCGACTCCTTTTTTCATGGTGTGGTAAAAGCCATTGTTCTGGTAATGTTGAAGTAAAATAAGATAGCAATCATATGTGGTTTAGGTTACCCAAGAATATTTTACGGTGCCAAGCTGGCTCAAGCTGTGTTTTTATAAGTGATGGAGTTGTTAGGAATATCTTAATTGACTTCACTATTGCATACACATACGTTTCAGGCTCACAATAAATTTATGCCAACCCGTCGCAATGATGTTTGGTGGACGGCAACCAGAAGATAAGGAGACATGGCTGGTCCATCAAGAAGTAAAGCTGTTTTTGGTTTAAAGCTGTTTTAACTCAAGATGATTCTTAATTAACTTTAGAGTTATCCATTTTATGTCTATCCTTTTTTTCGTCGGTTTGCTGATACTGGAAATGCCATTTTGATTGCAGATCGATAAAAATCTCAGGAATTCCAAAGAAGCCTTCGGTGATGTTCAGTTGTTTAAAGTTTTTGAAAAGAAAGCTGCGACCTATTTTGCTCAAGTATATATGAAAATTTTGTCTGTAAATATGATATAAAGAATTATCATAGAATGAGCTCGAATGTTTCAGTAATCCTGGTTTGTGAGAAGAGAAATATTAAGATTGTGGAGATAGCATGAGATCCAAAATCTAGACATTTTTGACCACGTGAACAGAACAAGGATTCACTTAAATAATTAGTTTGATTTGGACCAATTCAGCTCAGTAGAATCCCAAGCGATTTTGTCCTTCCCTGTTACCAAACTTAATTTGAATAAAATGGATTTAGTTGAAATAAATACTTCTAAATTTTATTTTTTCCAAATACTTTCCAGGATTGGTTAGAAAGAGATGAAGAAACGAAGCTTTTAATCGAAAGGATCTTTGCTTTATCTCGTTATGTCCTTGCTATTGGTGATACGGATTTGGATAAGGAGGTAGGATACATAAACTTTATTGCAGGGTGCTACTTTTATAGATGCCATTTTGTACTTTTATTTTGATTAGTTTTTTTTACTTTCAAAGCTTGTTTTTTTTGGATCCATATTACACACCTGTATGTCGTTGCAGCGTTCATCTCAGGATATCAACAGTCATGACCAATTAGTTCTGGCCTTTCTAGAAAGTGGTTTCGGAAAGCTGCTTGTTGAAATTTCCGAAACTTCAACAGAACGTGATTTTCACTTGTGGATTTTGGAAATTTTTGCAATGATGCTGAAACAACACGTAAATTTTACTAAACTGTCAATTTTCTTTCGGTTTATCAACTCTTTTTCATGAATAATAAGTTAGTGATTCAGGATGTAAGGGATGTCGTGGAAGCTGGAAGTATTCGTACTGCAGATGAAAGAAAGAAACAAGAGATTGAAATGCAAAAAGTTGTTCAACAGGAGACTGAAAAACAACTGAATGGGCGTCGATATATGTCAAGCAGACATACCGCTTTTGCTGGATCTTACATTTTGAAAGGAGTAAAAGCCATTAATAAGGATAACGATATGGTTGTCAACAAGTTCTGTTTTTGGCTTCTATTTTATAAAATCAATTGAAGGAAAGCGAGAAAATTCTGTAAAATTCTTCGAATTAATTTCTTTTGAAAATCTGTTGTTAGGGTTTATAATTGCATTTTTTATACTGAAATTATCTGTTCTTATTTTGTTTTAATGTAATTCCATATCTATAATGACTAATAAGCAGACTAAGACAGTTTTTTGACGATAAAGGTAGGAATACGTTTAATCTATTCTTTGGAAATCAAACCTCTCATGTTGATATTAATCATTGGTTAGTTTAGTTACAGGATTGAAAAATAGATGTGATTTGAGCTGACGAGCATGAAGATTCGCTTTTAAGGGATTAAAATCCAACTGCATACTTAAAATGTTTTGCGGGATTTTTCAGAGTGATAAAAAACTGCGATGAAATCGATCATTTAAATAAGAGGAAAACTCAGCATCGAGTCCCGAAAAACCGGCGGCCATTTGACATTGAAACTAACAAACATATTTCGGTTCTCAATGTGCGTGTAGCTTTACGATCCTTTTGCACAGAAATGCTACGAAGATCCTACTGTCGATTGATTTCTGGATGCAAAGATAATGTAAGTTGATTTATAAGTAAACGATGACATGGAATTCGAATTTTTTCACACAACATATAATATTTAAATTCTCGTTTTTTAACTTTTTTTAATAAGAGCATCATCCAATAGTTTGATAGCTATTAGAGAGATATGGACGAAATCGAAAAGTGCTTACTTAACAAAACTCATTCTAGGCTTTTTCTGGTAAACGAACTTTGGGACAAGACAAAGCTGATATATACTATTTTATTTTAATGCAATTCTCATTGGAATTCTGTCGCTTAGCTGAATTATCTCCTGAATATGTAAGTATCTAATAGTTGTAGATATGAACTTTGAGTATCTAATAGTTGTAGATATGAACTTTGATGATAAATAACGCAGATGTCAGGTTCTAATTCTCATTCCGCATTCGATCAAACATTCCATATATTTTAAGGTATTAGGATCTTTTATGCTTTCTATTCGGAAAGCTATGAAGCTGATGTGATAAGGAATAGCAATCGATGCAGATCATAGAGATTATAGCTTGAATTCATAGCCTAAATAAGGTACCCTGTCATCAATTCAGATAAAAGCTTCACTCAACATAGAAGCATTTCATCATGTTCAAACTCAACTGGACAATTATCTGGAAAAGGCAAGAATTGAGCGAAAGGAGGGACGTATTCACGGGTTACGCGCACAGCACGCCTTATCTGCTTACAAGGAACTGTTACTTACGTAAGTTTTTCTCCTTAACTTTATTTTTGCTTTTCTTTGAAAATTTTTCAATTTTCACTACAAATCGGGTCAATTTTTTACTTTAATAAAGTAGCTCTTCCATCGTTTTAGGTTGAAATCAATCCTGAAATCTGGAAATGAGCAGTGGAAACGGGAGGTAGGATCAGTTTGTACACACATATTAAGAGTTGAAGAATACAGGGATTTGTCAAGTTGTGTTATTCGTAGATTTGTGGTTAGTTAGATTTAAATTCGAAGCATTTTTTCTGCTGCTATGAACAAATTTTTATTTCGACTCCGAGTTTTTTGATTTTTAAAGAAATTATTTAAACATGGTGTGTTGTTGCTTACAATTTTCCAAGACATCCATACAGTGAGACATTTATTGTTATTCCTTGCTTTGGATTTCAGTTCACTGTTTTCAACTGGATTCTGCTTTATTAGCCACGCTTATTTTTGAATGCTAGAATCGATTATTTTATAATTGCATTAATCAGACGATTTCGTGGTCAATTACAATCCTTCGAAAATTATGTGCTTGCAGCCCGGTGTATTCTCGAAAACTTTCTTGCGTAATATTGTGCTTGCTAACCACGCATACATTAGTTTGATTGAGAAGTTTTCCAAGAAAGGGGTGCTGTCGACAGTAATTAAACGTCAAAAGAAGTGGCAACGTAAGTCAAAGAAGAAAAAAAAGCTAGGTAAACATTCCTTGTTGATATTTTAGAAGCATATTATTCTGAATTGGTCTAGTATTTGTATCTTTCCAGATCTTTCGTTTTCTTACGTATAAATCGCTGGGTTTCTTTCAGAAAATACTGTACAGGAATTAAGAGAACCAGATTGGAATTTATGGGATGATATTTGCGAAGAATTGTCGGATGTTATATTCGGTCATATTGAACCAACTATCGATATTAGTGCCATCGATGTGCTTCTGAATGTCGATGACCGAATTCATCAGTGTCTTATTTATTTACTTTTTTTTACTGCCTCCATTTCTCTTGCTGTTATTGCTTCCAGCTTCTTGTAACTTTTATTCTTGTTTTCCCTATTTCAGAGCAATTAGTTGCAGCCAATATTTCATGCGAATTTTAGAAGCTACCATTTGAAGAACTTTATTTACAGGCAGTTTGCAATGCTTATGGTGCAACAAGCACTTCATCAACGGCGTATAGCCGACGCTGTCGGTATATATCGATCAGCGCGTGACTTATGGCCTGCAGATGGTGTATTTGGAACAAACGATATAATGCCTGAGGATGAGTTTCTCGAATTACGTGCTGTCTATTTTGTGGATCTTAAAGAAGTCATTTTCATTTTCATCTCCCTCGTCTCCTCTCATTCTTCTATTGTTTCTCATTTTGTGTTAATTGCTTTTTATCATTGACAGTTTCTGCAAGTTAAAGCGGAGAAAGGAAGAATGCTTGGAATACTTGAATATTAGTAATACCGAAATCCGAAAATTGAATTGTTGACAGTTTTTGATTATTTGATTACTTATACTCGACCATTTTGCTTTTTTTGGAATCATTTTTAAAAATTTTCTATTTATGTATTTTGCTTTCGTTCTTAAACGTAATAAAAATCGAAAATTTAAATTTAAATTGAAAAAATAAATTTGAAAAGCAAACAGGTTGAAGCAAATTGGGAGAAGTGTCGACTAGAAACATACGGGCCGGAGCTAGATGATAGCACAAAAAGCGATGCCCAATTCAATGACGAATTTGATGAAGAGTATGAAGAAAGAAGTGATGAGTCCGATGTTGAAATAAGCATGGTTGAGAAAGAAATCGACTTTCATTTCGATGATTATGTCGCAAAATTCGCACGGGTGGATGTTTTGAAATGGTAATTTATACATTTAATTTATACTTAATTTATACATTTACTGGATGAGATGATACCGTCCTCGAACGGTCTCATCATGCTTATTGTACTTCAAACTTATTTGTTTGGACTACTTTGAAATTGTGTTACAGGTATATCTTTCTATTGGCTGATTTCGAATCTAATACAGTAGAGGTAAACAAGGCAATCTTAAAGCTTCTGCACCGAATAGCTTTTGATTTGAAAATGGCCCCACGTTTATACCAGGTTATTTTCCATTCTTATATAGTTAATCTGAAATATATAGTTAATGCGAAGTAATTTTTATCAAATTTTAATTTTATTAGAATTCTTTTAGGCATTTCATGCATTACACAATGATTCATAATTACAGCTTTCCCTTTTTGTAATCTTCAAGCGACTTGCTGTGCGTTTCAAGGGTCAGTCAATACATGAGATCAAGAAAAGCCAGTATTTTGAAATATATCAATTCGGTTATCATCTATTACGACGATTTTATGTTGATTATCAAAAAATTGGGTCTAAATTAATTCCGGAACTCTTATTCTGGAAAGGCCCCAAAGAATGTCACGAAATTGCTAATGGATATGGAACATTTGAGTAAGTATTGAACGAATAGGCGCCATGTGTTGACTATCAGTTGTGTTTTCAGTTGTTCTAAATTACTTTCATTTTCACTTTAAAGAAACAACGGATATTTAGAAAGTACTAATTTCAAAGCAACATCGGAAATTTCCACATTATGTGTTTACAAAACTAAAAATAAAATTTGATTTCAGAATTAAACAAGATGGTAGTAAAGGCAAAGAAATAGTATGGCCTGAAGAATTAGATAACGAATTAAGAACTCTTTATGAAGAATATTTGCTATTTGAGGAAAAACCTGAAGGTAACAAGAAAAAAAAAATTTCAAGTTTTCTTGTTCGCAATTTTTTAAGCTGTCCTTCAGTATATATATATATATACATGAGTTGATAAAAATTCTAAATTTTAGGTGTTGATATCATTGAATACATTGAGCAAGGTTTATCGCGGCCTCGAACACGTCGACAAATTATTCGGCAAATGAAGATGCTTGGGTTGGACACATTTGGTGCTAGGAATACTAGAAGGTAAAAGAATTTGACTATTTTAATGAGAAATTGAATCATCTCAGCGTTGCTATTTGTTTTATCTTAAGCTGCTTAATTTGCATAACACCATAGAGAGAGTGGTGAAGTTACAAAGTCACAATATATTGACTCAGTTTCAGCTCTTTTTAGCAACATATCTTTCTAAAAAAATAAGTAATTGACTAAAATAAATTTTGAATAAAATATGCTGTATCTTTTGAGTGCTCTTTTTTTGTAGAGATATGGGAGGAATTAAGTCACCAGTTTTTGCGCCAGAAATTGTCAGCCAAATACATAATCTTATCGAAGAGTTTAATTCAAAAACTCCTTCTTCCCGACCAGGTTCGAATTATTGATATCAGAAGAAGTTTACATACACTTTTGTTTGTCCTCAGCTTAGTAAATCCTTTTGCTCTCGAAGTGGTAGTGTATGAAATTTCAACAAACTGTTAACCTGTTATTGTTGTTTCTTAACTTTTTCTGTGATAATCGGAACTGGAAGAATACACAATTGTGAAGGTTTCACAATTATCGCTCAGTGGAATTGTTAAATTAAATGTAGCGGACTTCACAATATGGGAAATGTTTGAAATTAATCAGTACATGCAGCCATATAGTGTCCGACATCGATATTTCTTATATTCCCCAATTTCTGGATATAATATTTATCGCTTTTGCAGATGATTTGGTTAGTTTTATTCGTAATAATTTGACAGAAAAATATTCGAGAGCAAAAATCATCAAACAACTGCAGTATGGGAGTATATACTATAAACCAGCGTCAAGAAAGAAGTTCGTAAGGAATCAATTATTTTTAGTGCTAATGGCATGTTTTGAAAAATATTTTTGAAATTTCAATTTTGAACGTCTTGTTTGCAGTTAGTTCGTAAATACATCTCTATTTGTGTTTTATCATGTGGGAGATGTATTGGGAAACTTTTTTGTACTTTAATATTCAAAGTGGAGAAACAATTTCTAAACATTTTGAAGAAAATACTGAACAAATCCAATTATTCATTATGTCACATTTCGTACCGGTATACTGGCTGAAATATATGGATTTCTTTACTGCTATTTAGTTTTTTCCACACTGTGATTGGGTTTTTAAATTAGATAATGACATCATATAATCTAAAAGTAAAATTAGTTATGAAATAAATTAATCAAATGCAATGCCAATTTAGACGTTCAAAGGCCTCTCAAAAACTAACTGAACAAAGAGAATCAGATGAAGAAGGGATCGGTGAGCTTTTTGGAGGTCTGTCTTTTTTTCGAAGATCTTTAAATTTATTTCTTACGGCTTAAATGATTCTTGGTCTGGTTACAACTTCAGGTTCCAATACGCTGGGATTCGGCTATCTTTTTCAACGTGACAATGAATGTGGAGCAAAACGGTATTATATATTATCACAACTAGTTTTGATAAAGAACTTTGATAAAGAAAAAGCTTTAATAATTTTTTTGTTCTTTTCTGTTCTCAAATCTGAAATTTAGATTGCTAGGACTTATTATTCATTTATCTTCAGAAAACGAAATAAAACAAACAGATCTACTACGTGTCTTTCACCAGAAGTAAGCTTCTTTCCGTCTTTTTCGTTTTCTTCGTTGTTATTGCATGTTTATTTGGTTATTCGCACTGTCATAAATTAATCAATTTACTATCAACAATGTAATCACCTACTGACGGAGCAAGAAGTAGGAACTGTAAACGTAAAGAATTTGATCCTTTCCCATGCGGGAAAACCTGGTTGAACTATTTATCCGTTAACAACGGAGTTAATACAACTAGAAATTATCGTTGAATATTCAGTTATTGGTAATACTGCAACTAAATCATAACTAAATGCGTAGTGAAAAAAGCAATATATTTTGAATTGCTATAGAAATTTCTTCTCACAGAATTAGTTCTCAGTTAAAAATTTCTAAAATTTTCTCCCTCACGTCAAGTTTTATTTGCTTACTTCGTGATGTGACATATGGTAAACGGTAAATTTTTCTTAAGCAATTGCGGTACAGTTGCTCCATAGTGAGATTTTGGAAAATTTTTACAAATTTGCATTTTATTTGCTGATTTGAGTTTCAGGAAGATCTCAAATCCACTGATGATATTATAAATCCAGATGCTTTTGGATGTTCAAGTCCTAGGTCAAGTGCAAATACTGTTGACGAATTATTTACGATTAATAGAAAGGAGAGTATCGTTAACACGAACGATAGTGATGATGAGGTTGACACTATTGAACAATTAAAATTTTGAGTTGGAAACTGTCGTTCCAGATAGTTGAATTTTGGATGTTGTATGTCCGTAGCGGAAATTACGAATTAATAATAAGAATTTAAATCTAAAATCGTTTTCTCTTCAACTGAGATACCTCCATCTCTTAATCAAATTCAGGTAATACTTAAAAAACGGCAACGGTCGGTGGCTAGCATCGCACCCTCATCTGACGAGGATGATGATACTATCTCAAGAAAGATGCGTAAAAAGCGAATTATCGGGAGCGATTCTGAATAGATCTCAAAACCATACTTTTTTGTTTTTCTAAACGAAGGATACTTTGAAATAAATGCTTTACACTTGCTTGCAGCCTTCACTTTTGCGAATTTCAAATCTGAATTCACTCGCATTTCATTAGAAACTTTCGAATATGTTCCACCACTCTTTTTTGCCAGACTTTTTTCTGGGTGAGCATGTTGGCGACATAAATAGGAGCAGTCTGGTCTTTTGATCTTCGCCGCTCTCTACAGCGAACAGTTATTCAAAAATCGCATCGCCTATTGAAACAAGCTTAAACACAGTCTCGCTTGTGAAACTCAACTGAGGCCTTCCAAATCTTCAACTATGGGACTTTTACGCCGTCTCATGATTCCTCCTTTTTCACTCTTCCACTCCTTAACCTTTATCATCTTCGAATTTTTACCTTGAGCTTCGCGTTTTGCGTTATTTTTTAATAAATTGCATAAAGAGAAATATGTTAAAAGCAACCAATTTACTTTCCCCATGCAACTTTAATCGGAAGTCTAAAACGAAAAACAAAAATTTAAGTCATAATGAATTTCAAGTATTCCGTAAAACACTGTGCGCTTCATTACCATATATAAGCATGTAAGACTTGCACCATGGAAAATGAATCTTTGGGAAAAATCTACGGAATAAGATACTTCCGTTTACAAAATTCAGAGTAGCAGGGAAGGGAAAAACTTTCTTCAAATATGCTTTATGATGAAAAACTGTTGGGAGGATGAAATGGGAAAAACCTTCCAAATTCTCAATAGACGGGAAGCCTTGCACTGTAATGATCATCAGATTTTAAGGTTTGGTTTACGCAAAGATTAATTAATTACCATTAAAACAAAATTTCAAAAAATAACTATAAATGACATGAGTGAAGAAACAACAATGTGGTTATTAAAAATCAATGCTTATTAAAGCTTGACATTACGTTTAAAAAGGAAAGGAAATTTCGAACCACTTTTATATAAAATAAAAGAAAATATTTCACTCAATCCTAAACTACTCTGGAAGGATTTTAGAATCCCCATGAGTTATTCCCCATTTTATTTTTAACATCGTCAGGGCTTCCGTAAATGACTTATATTAATAAGGAGAAAAGAGAACCGATGATAGCAACTACCCTACCATTTTATTAGGAACCGTATATGTTCAATCTCATCATGATCTGTCTTAGAATGAACGCACACAGCCCGTAATAATTAAACCAGAACTCTAGACAGATAATCTCGAGTTTGAAATTGAAAGTTTTTGCAACCTTCTGAAAAACGTGAACTCGGGCATTTCGGGAAAATTAATTTTGTTTTGTTAAAAATGGAGAAATTTCCTAAGCATCTACATCAACAATACACAAGTGAAACCGTCCAATAGCAACGGGTTGACGGTGGCCAAGTACTGATGTGATACTTACAAAATAAACAAACAATAATCGCCAGCTCGAAGCACACATGAAAAAAAAGGATTGACTCAAAGGGATGACTGCAAAACAACGAGGAATTTTCCTTTCAAAGCAGACATCATTGATTTGGTAAAGAGGGCCGAGCTTCGTCACAAAATGATGATAGTTGGGGAAAGCAAAATCGGTTCAATTTTCAGCTGAAAAATAAATTTTTAGAATTAAAACTATCAGTCGATACTTTAAACCTCTAATCTAAAACTGCAAACCTGTGTCTAATAAAAACCCTCCTCCTCCTCCTAAACAAATTATAATGTAAAAACGTCAATGAAAAATGACTAACGAACTAAAGTCAACGACTATATCAGTGTTAAAGAAAATCCTCAATTCATACCTGGGTAACTTATTGTTCAGATGGCTTCATATCTGCATTTGGACGCTCGTTTTCTTTGCTCTCGCCGTCAGAAGTCACATGAATATTGCTTTCGGCTTCACCATTCATGACATCAACGTTACGGGCCCCACGACGACCCCTGCCTAAAATTTATACATCACGTGAGTATATCTATCTCCAAAACTTTCTAATTTTTAATCCAGAAAATGAAGCAAATAAATCTGTACCTCCACGACCACGTCCGCGGCCAGTTTTTCGTGGAACATTTTCACCACACAACTGGTCCTCTGCTGCAGTTTCCTGATGGTCACCTTCCGATGCACGACGACGCTGTCCACCGCGACCACGTCCTCGGCCACGGCTACGTCCACGTCCACGACCACGAAATCCGCCACGTCCGCGTCTCCCGCCCTAAAAACATTTTCCGATCTTAAACAGAAAACACATGCCGTTTCCAATTCATTAATATCACATATTCACATGTTTTACAGTACTTTGCTGCAGGCACAGCATGAATATCTATTCAAATTCCTCACTTCATCATTATCGCCACTTTCACCATCAGCCCTATCGCCTTCAGAGTTTGCACGTCTCGCTCCACCTCTGCCCGGGCGGTAAGCTCCATAATAGAAACGCCGACGATAAGCTCGTCCTCTTCCTCGCATATCGCTTTTATCTGCTGCATATCTCGAGCCTTCCACATTACCACCATTCGGACCGGTGACATTTGCTGCTTCTGGACCTTTCTGTCCTTCTACGACATCGAATTCCACCTAAAGGACAGTGATTTAATATTTAGTTCCATCATTAGATGCCACTATCAAACTCAATCATGCAGACTTTTGATATGTAAAGCATTCGCTGGTAACAGAAATCCTCGCCATTCCCTATCTTTCATTATCGAATTCACTGATTCAAGAGACAAAGAAAATAATCGTATAAAACTGACTTTTTCGCCATCGCCTAGTGATCTCAAATACTTGTTTGGATTGTTCTTTGTGACAGCCGTCTGATGAACGAAGATGTCATCGCCTGTATCAGCGCGGTTTATGAACCCATAGCCGTTCTTGACGTTGAACCTGAAGAAACTTCTATTACACATAAATGCATTAATAGAAAATATGATGATAGGTAACAATTTCTCAAATGTCATTTACTAATCACACATTCAGAACTTCTTAAAGCTAATTAATCAGATAATGTACAATATGGTATTGAACTAATTACTATTATCCTCTATCACGTGTCATAGAATCAATGACTGTTACTAATAGGAATTCATACCAGATATCTTATCAGCTTATAAAAAAAAAATGCCACAAACAGCATAAATTAAGAAGTTATAAATCAATGCTGTGTAAACATAAAATGCAGTAAAAGATATGAAGACTGCTTTCCACAGCAACGATACTATCACTTACCAACATAATAATTCTAGATTCTCACACATAGAAGACAAGTTTGCTTATATGCTTACCACTTAACGGTGCCCTGTATGTGACGTGCAACGATTTTCTTGCCGTCAATGTGGTTTTCGTCATTCAAGGGCGTTTCAATCTTCGACTGCTCGTAATGGCCCTCCGGCTTCTGTAACATAATTGTATGGTGTAAGTTCACTTGATAATTTATGATGTAAGTTCACTTCATAACTCGTGAATTAACCAACAACATGAATTAAATTTCGACTAGATCAGAATGAATAAAAACTATTCATTTCTTCGAAGTATTTTGAAATTCTTTTGCTGAAGTGAAAATGCTTACGTTGTTGGTTTCAGCCATTTCAGATGGTACGGCTTGAGGTGGTTGTTGCACCAGATCTTCTTACTTAAGCGGCTGAAGAATTTAAATTAGCTTTTTTTTAAAGTTTACCTAAAAGACATCATATAACTCTTCATTTTTTTTTGAATCCACGAACAAAACAAGACATGTATTTCACCATGTACTTCACCATCTTGAAAAGAGAACGTCAAAAACTTTAAACAACCCATGTTTTCAAAGAGAGAGAGAGAGAGATAGACAGAAATAACTCAACGCTCTTCTCAATATTTTTAAAAATATTTCACTATTCCATTTATTCACCATGAAAATTGATTAGCTAATTAAATAACACACACAAAAAATTGATTGAATAAGTCTAAATAATGGGCCAAATATAATATCGACCCAAGTGAATCGACCGAACACTGAACAACAAATTACACATAATGATTCTGCGACAACTGACAAAAATCTTCCAAACTGATTGCATTATTAGCAATCCAGCTAGCAGTGTATATCGAACAGGACCAACCCTTAGATCAAAAACTACTCAATCCTCCCCGCCTCAATTCCCTCACCCACTGCTTCTCCCTCACTTTACCCCAACCATTCCTCTATTTCTCCTTCTCAATCGATTTCATGTAAACCATCCCAAATTAAAAAAGAGCAGTCCGCATGGCATTTCATGGCTTCGGCCGTTTCAATTTAAGTTAAAAATTCTTTATAAACATTGTTGGAATTTTCAGATTATTCAATGGTGACAATGTTGAAGTGCATTCGGATGATACATTGGCTTATTAGTACACATCTTATTACTACTTCTACCATTAGTAATATTTCTTACAATTATCATATGCTACATTTAAATGAAGTCACTTAGAAGTATTAAGTTACCTCTTCCCTATCCGTACTGTTTGCTACATTATATTCTTTCCCAATATTATCTCATATGTTAACCCAATTCCTAAAATCGATAACCAATTGCTGCTTTCCGATAATCTCTCTGCAAATGTAATCTTTGATCGCAGTGACTGACATACCAAAATCGGCCATTTGATCATCTCATCATTAAATGTCAATGTTATTCATTGTTATCATTAATCATCAAATCAATATTTCTCATTCTATGAATTTTGCCACTCTTGAAGAATATAAGAATGATTTGCTAATTACATTTCTTCATATTTGCTCAACTTAATATTAGACTAATTAAGATTAAATTATTTGGAGATGATATTTGCCGGTGAAAAAGTTTAACGGAAGTAGTTATTTCGCCTTAACAGGAAATGAATAATAGATCAAAAATGAGTAGAAGGAATATCTGTGAAATGACCATTTAGTTTGAAATCTCATTTAAACATAAAAAGCCCTTTAGATTTCGAAGTAAATGGAAAAGTTCGAAAACAATTAATCGAAATTTAATGGATGTAACGGTTTTTCCTGCAATTTATCAAG